AAGGTTATTTAAGGGTGATTTCCTCCTTTTTCTTGCCATGTAGAAGTACCTGCACTAAAAGCAACTCCTGCTAATTTTTACAGAGCCAGGAATTAATATAATACAATTTCCATTTGACAAAATTGGAAACTATAATTCAATTAATTAGGCTACGTATTTTTTTTTTCTTTTTTCTTTTTTTTTTTGGCATATTTTGCACTCTATAACTTGACGGAATATAATTATGTAGAATACAAAAGAAAAGATTTTACAAATCCATTAGCTTTAATTTAAACTGATGTTTCACTACGATAATTTTCTCAGATAAACTCCATCTTTTATCAAACCCGAACATTTAAAGAATGTTCACACTTCAAATACGTCTATTAACTTAATTCGTATGTAGCCTTTTAAATTAAATCAATACCCCCCCTCCCCCAATACCATTGAAAAACCTTTCAAGACTGTTCAGTAACAACCATTATTACACCAATGCATCATAATATATAATCTGAAAGACGCCTCTAGATTAGATGGTGGTCATGGTTTCACATCTCCCAATGTTTATGTAACTATAACTTTGCATTATTCGCGAAAAAACTGTAACCTAATGTTTGCAAATTCATTAGAAGATACTTTACTTAAAGTTTATCCGTTTCATTAAAAGGTACACATAGGATTCCCATTTGAAGGTTTCGAAAGCGTCAATTCCTATAGCATTAGTCTGAAACAGCAACTTCATAATGTGCAGCCGGGTGCATTAGGATTTTAAATGTATATAATTAGTACCATACCAATGATTGTTTTTGCTAATAATAAGAAGTATTGGCTGAATTAAAAGGTGGGAAACATTGTGTTTATTTTTCATTTTCTCAAAGTATCAAGTATCGTAGAGGTTAACGATTTGTTGTAGCAGAGTTCAGATTACCTTCCCGTGGTTTGTTATTTTTATATATTTAAACTGAAGACAGTATCAGCTGTAGTTCCTGTTTTGTATCTACATTTATATCCTGTCTTTAAAGATACGATTTAAAGTGCCATAGACGCCGTGAATTATGCAAATGAAAATGTAGTTCCATTCACACTCCTTTACAGAAAAAAAATGTCATCGTATTCTGGTTAATAGCTTGGAAGACACACAACTTTGTATTTAAGGGGATTTCATCTCGCTAATGTCTTGTATTACGTCATATCCAGTTTTACATGGCTAAATACTACAAAAACGCATTATATCGATACTTTAAAAGTTTTTAAGAGGAAACATTAGGGTATGAACATAGACATTGGTTCCTAAAACAAGCTAACAGTAAATTTAAGCACAATTTTTGAAGCTTTTTGTAACAATGATAATATTAACAATGTATTTTTATAATGTGTTAAAAATCCACCCATTTATGCATGTTCACCTATTTATGCATCTAATTAGGATAAGAGAGTTTAAACAAATAAGGTTTTTAGTTGTGATTTAAAAACAGGAAATGTTATAATTTTATAATGTTTACCGATAACTGATTCCAAAGGACATGAGCAGCAGTGTCGGAACTTTATCACCAAATTGTTTAATACCGTCTGTTTCATTCATTTTTACACCTGAACGAATCATTACGAATAGGATATTTATTGTTTATGGCTGATCATCAGAGAGCTATTTAAACCATTATAAGGTTATAAATGTATTTAACATAAATATTACATTAATATGTTATTATCGACATCAAATGCAGCATACCCGAGACTTGTAGTTTATAGCAGATACTTGAGACAGTTTTTTGTGTTAAAGATTAAAGGCAGATATAATACTTTTGCATACACAAACTAAAATTAATGAGGTCTAATTATGTAGGTGATACTCGTGCGCACATGTATTCTTGTTAATGCAATGTTTATGTTATGTTATTACCACTTTGGCTGTCATACATAATGGTGTGTTTATGTGCATATCCGTGTATTAGATATAATGGTTTGTTAATAATTTATATAGCCATGGATATGCTGATATCATTAACAAACTTACACCCCATAACATTATATAATACATTACCGAAAGCATTATACTAGGTCTCATTTATAATTCATAGTATAAAATGGGTTATTTTCCATAATTTTTGTTTTACAATATGTATATGACGGTGAAGCAATTTAATATCGTTCATGTACTGCATGTGTTCTACAAACTACATGTTTGTCCTCAAATTTAAAATCATTAATTGATTTAATTCAGTTTTGACCGTAGGTATCTTCATTGACAAAATTATGTATATAATGTTATCAAACCTAACATTTATCTTTAGGCCTTCCACAGCAACATACCGTCTTTTTTTTGTTTTATTGAAAATGGTATCAAATGGGAAACAGCTTTAGAACTTTTTTATGGAAAGGGGTTCAAATTGTACCTCATCCAATTGAATGAATACAATGGTGTTTAACGTCAATCTTTTTTGTACAGGACAGTGCGCGGACAGCAGTTTAATTCCAGAGCTCTCAAGAGTTATTTTACGCGCACATCAATGTGTACACAAGACCTCTGTTTTTTGTCCCGTCCGAACGACTAGACGCCGTTTCTTGTCATGTCTTCCGCTCTGCATCCTGACACGGGAAAAGCACGCCGGAATATTTCTCGGCCACCACCGGGGTCGAACCTGCTATCTCCAGGTTAACAAGCCAGAATCTTACTCACTGAGTCACCGCGGCTCCCGTAACCTTGCCCATCATCTCCATCAAGTCAAATCATGTTACGTTTGACATTTTACAGAGTCATATTCAACTATACCATATGTGTACTTGGGATATATAGTAAAGTTTGCTTGATTTGTTATACTCAATTACTATAAGTATAAGTCAAAATCCCATATTAAAGTTTAAATCTCTCCGGATATTATATTATCTCTACTGACGGTGACGATAGTAAAGCTATAAAATACTTGACATATATTCATATAGTTAGGTTATAGTAAAGGTCTGTACTGAAGTATCTCAAAACACTTATATATGAACTAGATATAGATCAAAATGTGTCAAAGAATGATCAGTTAAATTTACTAATAATTATATCCAAGAACGTGAAATAACTGAAATCTTGTTATTCCATTTTGATGAAGACGGGCAGTGACGTTTGGTTCTTTTACGTGCATACTAACGTGTACACGGGATCTCGATTTTTGGTCCAATCCGAACAACGCCGTTTCATGCCAACCCCTACACCCCGCAGAACCGACAAGGAAACCAGGTTAGAATATCCAGAAGAACGTTTTCAGCGATACCCACTGAGTCACTGTCGCTCGCCTGATACAGGCGACATAATCTTTGTTGAAAGTAGATGTTATCCATAGATAAATAACTATAATATAAATACAAAGCAGAGCTGGGAAGTGTTTGCGTTTTTAAAAAAAAATCAGTGATTGAATATGATAACTTTGTTAAAGTTGGGTTTTTACAAACATGCAATCTTTTACTTTCATGTTACGTCTATTTCCATTCAATAAATATCTACACACGTTCTTTTAATTACAACTCAATATTTATCTCGTTATCAGATTTGAACATTTTTATGCCATTCATTGGTTTGTTTTTGATATGTTTTGAATGTAAAGATACCGGTATATCTTTCAATCAAGATATTTGATACCTAATAATACAACTATCAATAAGGATTATGTTTACAGCCAAATGTACGCCCTTTAATTCTTTCAGGACATACCATAGTCAGTTTATGACAAGCCTTTGTTTATAGATAAATAATCAACATACAATTCATGTATTGACAATGGGGTAATTATACATTCTAAACATCAATAACAAATTGTTAAATGTGATTTTTTGTTTATTATTTTGGTATACAACTTTATGTTATTTTAATGTACCGATAGCATCGTTTATCAATGTTAAGGAATAATAAGAGGTTGCTGGGTACTGAATATAGTTGATACCGATACATCATGAAGCTGATGTATATTGTATATATTGAGAGAAAAGAGCATCGTTTAATGTATATAAGCATGCATGCTATATATCGAAAAACTAATAGTGTAAGCTATATATAAGTATAAACATGTGTTCACCAGATAGAGCATGTCATATAGGATGTACTCTGCATAAACAAGGTTACGTGGATAATATGTAAAATGTACATAAAATGAAATATATGTGTATTTGCTAAGCTGCGATAGTGTTATAAACTTTGATTTATTCTTACATATGACACCGTGTTTGTAGTGTATTCGTATAGGTGTATGAACCATGAACAAGATTAGTGCTTTATCTGAGAGAAACTTACAACACAAGTTAATATTCCCAGACATAATGTAGGCCTATTATGTTTGATTTAACCTTTCTAATTAAAGGGCTTACCTGTTATTTTTAGAATGCTTTCTAAACGTCTTTTTAGTTAGTTCTTGAATAGTTCGTAAATTCTGAGGTTCGGCACTAATACCCTGTGCTCTCTGTTTTCTAGGCCCGTTTAATAATGGTCGAACAGTAGCGGGCAAAACGGACTGGAACTTATCCAATTGACTTCGGAGTTCCTGAATTTTACATTCCTTTTCTTCCAAAAGTTTTTGAAGTTCCTTAATTTTCTCATCTTTTCGCCTTAGCAAAGTTTCTAACTCCTGTAAACTTCCCATTTTTTCTAGAACTATGTCACACATGGAGAGTTAAAGAATGGTTAGATGGAGACAATCGGGTCACTCAGATGAAAGGGACATAGATTTCCCCCTCCTTTCTACACACTTTGACTAGAAGAATGAAAACGTCGCACCATCATTACTGACAACTTGCTAAAGATACAGTGTACATAAATCTATTACAAGTAGTGAGGTTTAAGTATTCAGCTGTAACGAACACAATACCAACAGCCCTCCACAAACCCTCTAGCCGACATGTATACTAGTTTAACTATAGACGCGTATACTCATTCTCACTAAGTCGTCTGCTTAGGATGCCTTGGGCTATCACATGACCTCGAATCGTACACACAATTTAAAGGGAAGTAACTGATACTGGGTTTTTTTTCGAAGGATCTTAACACCTTTCAACCTGACTACGTTTTAGCTGGAAGGCAGTGGGGTCTGGTCTTAACACTTGTAAATGAAAACCATATCCTTTAGCCTTCATGATACTGTATGGTATTTTATAGTAGCAGATCGATCAAGGTCAGACAAGTTAAATTAAATTCTTAACAAGGACAGGTGGAAAATAGAAACCTACTTAGAACTGAACCAACCACGTGTAGACTACAGTTGAACTCGTGTGTTAGACATAAGCTTCACACGATGGGTTGTTTTTGTTAATCTTAAACCGTAAACAAACGTTCAGTTCTTTATATAGCTCTTGATATCTCCCCGACCGTCTTTTACTATATAGTAAAAATCGAAAAATGAAATGAAATGGGGCTTAACGTCTCGTCATAAAAATACTTCGATGATTTTGAGACTAACATACGGTTTCCAGTTTTTTTATTGGCATGTGTAGTCCTACATTGCTGGGGTGAATTTTGCCTGGACAGCGACAATTCCGCCTACTCTTCATCGAATACCAATCGTTCGTTTACGTGAACGACAATGTTTTTCGTTCCATCCGAACACCTAGGCACACTTTCTTTGCTAGTTCGTCGTGTGTCACCCCTGATAACTGTGAACCGAGCTTGAAAAATCCTGCAGGTCCTTCTGGACCAACGCCGGGAATAATTGTTTTGGGCGTTTAAATGTGTTGTGTATACATTAATGGAATAATATTATCCAGTCAATCACCAAGGATAATCAAATTAGAAAACCCAACCATCGCGTTGTGTATTCTGTAATGGAGAATACGGTTTCATTTTGTTAAAACTCATTATATGATTATTGATTGCTTATTTTTAAGCGTAATTATTTTCATAAAGAATATGTTGAAGTCAAAGTATTCAAATTCACAAATTAGGAATTTTTGCATGCAATTAATCCAATAAAATATCTCTTAAACCCGCTGATCCTCATTTGCATTTTTCGGACAATATCTAATATTTCACGACTTAATCCACTTCAACGTGTACTCATTTTTAAACCACAACAGAAATTAGATAAGACTTATCCGTGGTGAACAGTATGACGAAGCCCGTCTCAATTAGCCAACAGGCGGTTGGATGGAGTTGCATCATAAGGTCTGTCATTGAATCAAGTGGGGTGGTTTCGATTCACGGCTTGTACGTGACAAGATGTAGTATGGTCGTCTGTCCAATCTCGTGTGTTTTCTCAGGGTTGTCCGATATCCTCCCACTGCTGAATACCCTATGCGCAAGTGAATTAATGAAATAAAATTGAACCATATGTTAGTTCCGAAAAGACCTAGTTTGAGTCGAGTGGATGTTACCCCCCCCCCCTCTCTCTCTCTCTCTCGTTTCATTTATTGGTGCCGCTTGCAAATTGTTTACATTGGTTATACGAGGCCACAGATTTTTCATAAATAAGCCGTGGTGCCGCTGTTGGGCTGAAATTCCCCTCATAGCACACTGCATGGCGCATGACCGTCTTTTTTTTTTAGCCCCAGATGGAGCAGAACCGTAGGACGTTAATCCCAATTTCATTTCATTTATTTCAAAATTTACTTATCTGGAATATACATCACGTTGTTTGGGTACCTTTTTTGTTGAAACATTATATTACAAGGGATGCCATAAGGGATTACTTTTGAATGGAAAATGCTTTATAGAATATAGTAGTGTTGTTTTTAGTTTCAATAACGTATTTTTATTTTGAAAGTCTAAATTAACTTCCTTCAAGATAAGATTTCTGTCTGTCGACGTCTTGATAACCATAAAAATGTCATGTGAAAGATAAGAATAGATGTAGCGGTATAGCAGAAAAAAACTTTTACGGCTATCTGATCGTGACACTTTAAAGGGGTATTATAGTACCGAAAAATATACGATTTACAGTTCCATAATGTTAGGCATCTTCAAATTCGATAGGAGCAGAAGCTGTGGCTAAGAAATACTCGTGGTTTATTTTTATACGCCCGCAGTTTCATGTGGTCGTATATTGTCGTCACCCCTGTCCGTCCGCAATTTGTTTGTAAACACTCTACAGGTCACAATTTTTATCCGATTTTGACGAAACTTAAAATGAAATATAGGTTTGTCTCCCAAAGATCTTGTGCCTTTCGATACTGGAATGTATCGGAACGTAACTTCATGGATGCCCCTTGTTGTACGAAAAATGACGGCTTTGGCTTGTGGGCACTCTAGAGGTCACGATTTTGATTTAACTTGAGATTTTGAGAGAGTGTGAGGAAACCGGTGGACCCAGAGAAAACCCACACGGGTGGACAGGCGACCCTACACCTTGTCACGCACAACCAGAGACACCACGCCAGTTGACGCAATGACAAACATCATGATTAAACTCGCACGCACTAACCATTCGGCCTTCCAACCCCCAAGGTAATGTTAAAATGAAAGCGGTTAGCCTGGAATATTTTTACTGTGACTTTAGCTTTAAGGCACACCTTAGCTATGGGAATCAACGCAGAAAAAGTCATGGTACAAATATTCCAGATTAACCGCTTTCATTTTCAACATAACCTTATTTCTATTCAAATGATTTCCAATTTGATATTGAGGTATAACCAACGCCAATAAGAACCATCGCTTAATTTCTAATATTGCGATGGTCTGTCTACTCGTTACTTAACGATTGAAGTTTAAAGGGAAGTAACTCGGATTTTCGCAACTTAAAAATTTAAGACACTGACTCCCACTATGGTACGGGATATTGGTTGTGATGCCCCGCTAACGAACTATGGTACGGGTGGTCGAACCAACAAATCACCAATTAAACAGGACTTATAATCCTATTTTAAAAGAGCGATGTGATGCAAACAAGAGACATTCTCTGTTTTAAAACTTTTATGGGTTTTATTCCGAAAAAAAAATCATTAGCACGGGCTTCGTGAAAACAGATCTGGAGTGTTGTGTTTATTATTTCCAATCGTCGATAGGCTACAGCGCGTCGCCAAAATTGACTTGTTTGTATTGCCTTCGTGTAATTAGAATCGTTTTTCTTGTTTTAAAGCCTAGAAGGACACTATGGCAGAATTAACAACAAATATAGGTATAACCAGAATTTGTCTTGACAAAATTCTGAGTAATTTGTATATATGTCTTTGTGCCGCATCTCGAAGAATAGGTACCTCTGCTTTTAGGCACAAGTTCTGAATCTGTGTTAAAATTCTCAACAACATTCGATTTATCTGAATATACGGTTGCTATAATTGCCTCTTCATTGTGAATGTCCGTTTTGAATTCTTATAAAAGGGGCATTATAGGGGATTATATAAAGAGTTGGCTGTTCTCGCTATAATATTTAACAAAAAGATAACCTAAATAGAATATGCTGAAAATTTCAGTCAAATTGCTCCACTCTGAACCGAGATATTAGCTTCTGAATGTTATGCTAGCCTCGAACATCATTACTAAAGTCGGTACTATAAAAAACAAAGTCTCGCTTATCGATTTATCGACTTAATTATTTTTCAAAAAATGTATTCCAATCCGCTAAATATCGCAAGCTAGCGATAGCATCAAGAGTTGAATATGATCTGGAGAAGTTAGTTAATGCCTAATTTATAATTTAGATAACATTTCAGGCCTAATAACATCTGCAATAGACAAATTTGGCTCTTGCATAATGTATGTTTAATATACACACTAATAATCAATTTAATTTATATGGGAACACAGAAACCTTCATTTGATTGATATCCGGAGGATTATCGCTTTCTCTTGACGCATGTTGCAATGTTGAGAAACAGAAATCATTCAGGTTTTTTTTTGTTTATAAAATTTGGTGGCTTTTTAGATATGCATGTAATTTCATTAAAACCCCACTGTCTGTTTCATCTTTTCTTAGTTTGATGTTTGATGTTTTGGACTAATCGTTGTCTTTTTATTATTATTTGTTGAGATTCAGACACTGTAAACAGGCCGATTTCAGATTGCATTTTAACGTGAAAAATGACCTAATCTATACTAATATTTGTGACTGTCGTTTGTCTGTCTGTCTGTCTGTCTGTTCGTGGTTGGCGGATACACTAGGTCTGCCCCGAGTCTGAAATTTGGGGGATAGGGGTAGCTCGGACCGGGGAGTAACATAGGCCAGGTGGCGTTAGTCTACCACTTTCGGTTTCGGAGTTATGACCCCCGAGCGAAGCCGGTCTGTTCGGGGTTGGCGGCTACACTAGGTCTGCCCGGAGTCTGAAATTTGGGGTATAGGGGTAGCTCGGACCGGGGAGTAACATAGGCCAGGTGGCGTTAGTCTACCACTTCCGGTTTCGGAGTTATGACCCCCGATCGAAGTCTGTCTGTTCGGGGTTGGCGGCTATATCTGCCCCGGGTCTGAAATTTGGGGTATAGGGGTAGCTCGGATCGGGGAGTAACATAGGCCAGGTGGCGTTATCTACCGCTTCCGGTTTCGGAGTTATGACCCCCGAGCGAAGCCGGTCTGTTCGGGGTTGGCAGCTACACTAGGTCTGCCCCGAGTCTGAAATTTGGGGTATAGGGGTAGCTCGGACCGGGGAGTAACATAGGCCAGGTGGCGTTAGTCTACCACTTCTGGTTTCGGAGTTATGACCCCCGAGCGAAGCCGGGTATCCTGCTAGTACATACATATTGCCTACACCCTTAAATTATGTCTCCATTAGACAAATCGACATCTAGATCTTGACCTTTCTGTACCCCCAACTCGGTGGGGCAGAGATAAGTTTGGATGTATTTGACTTTTCTTGAATTAATTGAGTCATCATCATACATGGGATGGAATTAAGATTTGTTCAAAAAGGTTTCCGTCTAATAAAGGCAGATCTGTACACCTTAAAACAGACATAGAGATTTTCAGCCATTTCATATGACCAATTCAATAAATATTTTCGTAATAAACACACAAAAAAAACCATAATATGGAACACAATTATTATTTAAATTTAAGTGACGTTTCGTTGAGGGTTCTCTCAGCGTTATCAAATGATTTTATTAGGTTTTCTGATAATCAAGACTTTTTAATATGGGAGGTAACTCCGGATAGGATCTAAACCAACATTTATTCTCGTGTATTTCCATTTCTCCCTTCATGTGGACGTATATTGTCGTCGCCCCTGCCCGTCCGCCCGTCCGGACGTCCCTCCACAATTTGTTTGTGGACACTTTACAGGTCACAATTCTTATCCGATTTTGACTAAACTTGAAATATAGGTTTATCTCCAAAAGATCTCGGTTTATAACCCAAAGATCTTGGTTCCTTTCGATATTTGCGCATATCGGATCGTAACTACCTGAATTATGGCCCCTGATTGTACGACAAATCGAGTTTTTAGATTGTGGTCCCTCTAGAGGTCACAATTTGTATTCAACTTTACAAAACGTTTTAATATATCACCGTTACACCCTAATGATGGTTGAGTTCAACTTTCGTAAAAATCTGACCCAAACTGCCAGACAAAATTACATACTTTTACACTATTTGCGTACAAGGATGTAATACCAAGGTTGTGGAAACTCTAGAAGTCACAATGTTTATCCGATTTTGATGAAACATGAAATGTATGATTATAATCCAAAGATCTTATTTCCTTACGATATTTGCGCATATCGGACCGCAAAGTCCTGGATTATGGCCCCTTATTGAACGAAAAGTCGTTTTTTTTAGCTTGTTTTCTATCTATCTCTTGCAAAATGTTGGTCTATCTTGCCTGGCAACCGCTGGTTGTTGACTTTTGGTGTATATAAAAATATATAGGTTTGAATTTCTTTCAAATTTTAACAATTCGTCATGTTCTTGTCTGGCCTTTGAGATATCTGCTACTATTTTCACAATTGTTTTCATGTATGGGATTTTGTATTGTGTTGATCACATATAAAGCATGATTTGTTGAGAATTCCAATATGAAGTATATGTAGTTTTAGGTCGCTAAACTGGAGATTATACCATCGCTACCAATAATTACATTTTATTTGTATTTGTGTTACCTTTGATCCCAACCAAACAATTAAAATGAATGGAACACCTTGGGAATGAAGCTAGGTATTTTTTCCTGCTCCGGCTACACACTCATTTTTCCAGAACACCACACTACCTCTGGCAGATTTGATTTTTACGTAACAATTTCATGTAGATTAATCTGAGCCTGCGTGCATAAAACTCCTCGACATTTGAGTGGGTTATGTTTTATCATTCTACAAAGGCCCCGGCTGGCTTTGGTAACCGACGAAAACTGTTAAGTTATTTCTGTTTTAATAGAGCAAACCTGGGCGGAACCAGGGTGGTGGGGGGTATTACAGTCACTTTTTGAAAAATACTATATACGCTTTATATGTGTTTTTATAGTTGCGCCGTTATTGACCTTATTGGCGTAGGTATTTTCAACAGGGGAACCACGATGGCCCAGTGGGTAAGACGCTAGCTCGCTAGTCTGGAAGTTGCAGGTTCGTTCCCTTGTATAGTGCAGAACAAAGGGCATTGCAAGGATAGCTGTCTAGTCGTTGGATGGGAGGAAACACCGAGGTCCCGTGTACACATTGGCATGCACGTAAAAGATCCCTTGGCAGTTGGAATTCGACATAATTGCCTTCATAGCACACTGTATGGCGTATACCCGTCTTCGTTACCTAGACGGAGTAGAACGGTGGACGATAGACTCCATTTCATTTCATTTTTTATTTTCTATGGCGAATTTTATTTTTGAAATCTTCGCATTATACAGTGAAATATCGACCTATGCCCCCCCCCCCCCTAACCGGTAAGTGCGTTTAAACCTACTGCTTTCGGTTTATTGATATTCTTTCACAGAAGCATTAAATCCACATAATTTACGCCCGTAGCCTACAATAATGGTATTCATATTTTGTATAGTAAAATGGTATTGGTGACCTTATAAATGATCTGAATAAATATCATCAACAAAGGCAAAATCTATAAAGATCTCAGTAAATAAATACCCCAGACAACCAATAGTAGGTATTAGCTAGATATGTGCTGTATTGTTACAATTATGTGTATGTTTAGTTATACCTGTTTCGTGTTTCCAGTGACGCAGATTACTTGGAATAAGACAAGCAATAGAGTTGGTCTTTTCATTGAATTAACCCAAATACCGTATACAGAATATGGTATTGTAAAAATCTTTGTAACGAAATAGCTAGCAATTATTACATTCCCCTGGGAAATATTCGGTCAACTTCCTGCTTCGACTGGTGAAACCAAAAGTAATTTAGTGCGAAGTTTTCTTTTGCGCCCCCCCCCCTCCACCCCGACCGGCACACACACACACAACATAAGAACAATGCTTGCATACCCTTTTATGGAGTAAGCCACATGGGTATTAAAGGATGATCATTGTGGCCTTATTGCGTTTTAAAGATGTCTTCGTTTGCTGTTTAAAACATTATCATATGACGTCAAATACCGTGTACAGAATTTATAAACAAGTTTCATATTACAAAATATATAGTAGCCCCCCTCCCCCTCATAATTTGGCCCCAAGTACTCTTTTCTCCAGGTTATTGCACGCGACTAAATATTCAGTTAGATACAGAGATGTAAGTGGAAGAGACCTGATTTTAATATAGAAGTGAGACTTCTACAAGTAGAACGTAGACTTTCAGAAGAAAAAAAAAACCCTGCTATTCACTATACTGATCCCTGGGTTAAGAACCCCCCCCCCCACACACACACACACACACCAGTTGCGAGGGTCGCGATTAGTTAACCTTACTGAGCTGTCGAATATTTTATTCCATCTCATTATCGTTGTATCTATGACATATTGGCTAATTAAAACACGACGGGATAGATTTTTTCTAACATTGTTACAACCTTTATATTACATACTTTCACTATTTGCGTAAAGGGGAGCGGCCATTTGACAGGAAGCTTCGGTCCGATTTTCAGGAAATTCGGACTCAACCATAATTATGGACAAGGCGATATATTTGAATGATTTTGAAAATAAGATAAAAAAAAATTGCTACCTCTAGAGGATCCACAAGCTAAAAACGTGATTTTTCGTACAATCAGGATCCATAATCCAGAAAGTTACGGCCCGATAAGTGCAAATCGGAAATTCATTGTGACCTCTAGATGGTACACGACAGGGCGACTTTTAGGTTGCGCGGATTTCCGTACTCTAGTCGAACTATCTGCATGCGAATGACATTTAGTTCAACCTCTGGTCGTGACCAGCCGTACCATGCGATAGAGCACGGTCGAAATAGTTCAAAGATGGCTGAAAAGACTGACAGGTGTAAAGATTTGCCTGACATGATGGGCACCGCTATATTGAATAGTCAATGGTCCGGGCCATTTGCGTTCGGGTGCTGGTTCAGACTGTAGTAGCGACCACAGTTTACATCCAAAGGTCGCCCTGGGTATTATATGCTTTTACACTATTTGCGTAAAGGGGAGCGGCCATTTGAACTTCGAATTTGAACTCGGCCGTATTGGTGTAACTGTGGTATAGTTAAACGGCTTTTTATAATCAATAAAAAAAATTGTTACCTCTATAGAGGCCACAAGCTAAGAGTGTGATTTTTCGTACAACCAGTTAAGGTTCGATATGCGCCTATATCGACAGGAACCGAGATCTTTGGGTTATAAACATACATTGTAAGTTTCATCAAAATCGGATAAAAATTGTGGCATCTAAAGTGTCAAAAACCTTGGTATTATTATGCATATATTTGTCCAGTTCAGCATCACAGGAAATCCCCATCGTCTGCATTGCTTTCATGGAAAGGGATTAAAAAACATAAAAACTTCAATGAGGAGTAATTTTACTAGCCAGAAATCGCCTAGAAAGCGTCTCCGACGAACTACACCCCGGAAGCATCCTCGGCTAAAGTCCTGGGACCTTTCCCCTCCCCCCTCCCCCAATCAAGAGTTGCTTCCGCCGGCCCTGCTACTGATCTGTATATAATACTCGTTCACAATTATTATTTTGGACTTTATTTTCTTTTCTGTTACGACCTCTTTGTGAATATTAAAGCACATTGTCGGTATTGAAGATTTAAAAAGAATACCAAAAAATCCAACACAATGTAAAACCATCACTGGTTTAAGGACGACATTTCGATAAGTATTCTCTTGTCGAACGTCGTTTGAGGGAATTCGCCAAAGACCACTCGAGGATTATAGGTTTGTAGACTGCTTACTTTGTGTGCATTATGTGTCACTGCCCCCCCCCCCCCCACCGGGGACTGTATGGCGCAGTGGACGCTTTTGGAAGAGACAGGATCCATTCATATTAATTTCACGGACATTTAACGTGGAAGTATTATGTCTTTCGTCGGTCCATAGTATGCAAACGTATATATGCAATACTTTGGACGTTATTGACCAAAAAACGGCCTTGTTAATTATTGTCTGTGATTAGTAGGACCGAGTTATTTTAGATGTTTATAAAGCTCTGTTTGATTGCTATATATGGTATAAGGAAATACCTTGTCAAATTTTGAAGTTATTTTTCTTGTCATATTTTAGCTTTTAAAACTTCTGATTGCTGTATTGGGCCTAAGAACGAACGTTATCGAAATTGCGTTTAGTATAGATAAATAGATTGAAATGAAAATGGGGTTTAATGTCCTGCTGTGGTTTTAATTGAGTAATTATTCCGCTATCAGATACTATGTACATGAACGATAGGAAAATATTACCATTTGAAAGAAAAAATATTGAATAGTAATACACACATTACCCAATAGGGTAAGGATATACATTTGCTTGAGAAAGTCGTGTTAAAAGCAGAATAGATAGCTTTGTAATTATTCATTGTCGTAAGGAAATGGATACAATTGACATTGCTAATAAAATGTCGAGAAACCCTTGAATAATTTCATTTAGATCGAAGACTAGGACAGATAACACGTTAGCGGAGTAAGTATCTTTCTTTACAAATATATACCCCCACACCTCGGAAAAATACGTCCAATTAAAAAGATTAACCACTGATTTTATGTTTTTATGTACATGTATGGTAATAGAAAGTAAACATGGCGATTCATAATTCCTAAACAGCAGAAAAACTCGCTAATACTAATCACATATTATCTTGTATAACCACTTGATTTTTTTTTCAGGCAACGAATCCTAGAAGCTTTCAAAATGGTATTCTCTCAGAAACCAGGGACTGCAAAAATTGGAGCTGTGCTTTTATTGATTTCGTTTATAATTGCTTTAATTGGAACCTTATCGCCATCATGGTATAAAAGTCGAAACTCAACTTCTGGAATTTGGATGTTTTGTCTAGGACCTGGAGAATTTGAGAATTGTGGTTCAATCAATTTAGCTTATCAACCAGGTACAAATATAAGATATTAGGATCATATAGTTGTTATGTGCATGAGTCAAAATGTCTGCTTCTAATTTAATCGTGAACATTAAATTAATATAGATAATAAATAACACTTAGATATTACAGAGACAATAATACATGGCGTAATTATAGAGCTGGTCCATTTTACGTGATTTTACTATACATTTTTGTTTTCCAGGGATATAAAAACTAGGTTCTAGAACTGTGATGATAATTGTCATTTGATGGGTTCACACATAGTAAATTTAAACGTTTTTTGTACTTTTCTAAAAGAATTATACTAGAAGAATTAGGAGAATTTATAATTGAAAGAATATATAATTAGACGAATTTATAAAGTCACGGTTGATTAATTATATATTTTTTCATGTTTTTAAGATTGGTATTTGGCTGTCCTGAGTTTAGCGGCAATTGGAGTTATCTTACTGTTTATATCAACAATCGCAGCTTTTTGTGCTACCGGTCGAGCGGTTGCCGCTATTTTGGGTATATTGGGAGGTAAATACACTAGTTTAATTTATTGTAAGAAGAACTTTGTATCATAACGCTACCCTTACATTGAATCATTGTAAACTGCACTGGTTGGTATATCTTGATATATCTAAATGATAGTATTCAATATTTCTGGTATTTGTTTAAATCAAATCAAATCAAATTGTAAAGACATTCATTATAAGCTAACTTTTATTCAAAATATTGAGCTATTCTAAAATATGTCGCCAATGTATTTCCCAGTTAATGAGTTATGGCTAGTTGTGTATATGTAATGAGTGATCTGCATGATACAAGCTTATAGACTTATAGTTTTTTTTAGTTTTTCAACTTTAGACCGCTAAAATTTATGATTTATCTGAAAAGTGTTATTTCGTTATTTAGAAACTTGTAGATTGTGGTGAAATTAAGATAAACTAATGTAAACTTCAAATGGCCATACGTTTTGGACCAATTTTATATGATTTGATTAGACTGATTTTGATTGTACACGGACTTGTTGCCCATTTCAGAATACTTACTTAATTAAACACTATTTTTGATCTTGTAGTCAGTTAAGAATAATTGCTCGACATTTATTTTCTTTATTTAAAGGGCTGTTGGTTATAGTATCTGTTGTCGTTTACTATGTGAAACAGAATGAAGCTGTGTCGACATTCAGTGAATTACTCTACTGGGGTTTCTATTTGTCCGGGATATCCGGAGGTCTTGGTTTTATAGGCGCATTGCTCTTAATACCCGGTCAAAAACAAAATGCCGTTTCAACTTATTAATAATTATAGTGTATTTCTGATTTGTTGTGATAGCTCTTCTATATATAATTGACCTACATAATTGTTACTGTACATGCTTGAAAACGTTGTCGCACAAATAAATTAAGTTGTTGTTTGTCCATGTTATAATTCGTTAGTATATAGGACCTTCAAATGCTAGGCGATATATCCATTTCGGGGAAAAATTTATATTAACAGTCTACTATTTGGCACCCAAATAGCTTTCATATCTATTGAGTTCATGCAAATTAAGAACTAGTTTTATATACTATTTATATACAGAGTTTAACAATAAAGAGAATGTGATACGCTTGTTTTTCTAGTTTGTAATATTTTCTAGAAAATTATATTAGTATAATTTAAGGTCTCTTGTTAGATCCCGGTGTTGGCCAAGAAAGTTCGGCGAATTTTCCAGCGTGCCCCCCCTCCCCCTTGTCAGTGGTGCATGATGGAGGGCCTGACAAGGAACAGTGTCTAGTCGTTCGGATGGGACGAAAAGCCGAGGTCTTGTGTGCACGTAAAAGAAACCTTGGCAGTTGGAATTCGAAATAAGGGTAGACCGTATCGCAAACAAAATTTCCTTCATAGCATACTACAAGTCCGTTTTCATTAATCCAGCCAAGGTGCAGACCAGTATAGGACGTTAAACCCAATTTCACAAAAAATATCATTTAACCATACTGTACGGCGTTGGTGTAAAATATAATGTAGTTGACTGCACATTTATTTAGGATATTTGGAATTTCATTTCTAATCAAATCTAACATAATTCATTACGAACTCTTTGCGAATACTAACGCCCATTGTCAGGTTTGTCGATTGCTTACCTTGTGAGTTGTTTTTTTTCATTTTGTGTGAAACCTGTATCACTATAGTCCCGGGACAGCATAACGTAGTGGACCGGACCAGATTAAGACCAATAGAGGCCCTAAGCACTTAGATGATTTTGGTGCCCCCGCTTTCAAAATGCAAACAATAATAAACCATGAAGGTAACAGTAAGAAAAGACAAAAAACAATAAAAAACTAATTAAAGGTTCTTAATTAATTTTTAAATTAAATATTTTGAATTTTTCATCTACCAAAGGAGACATTCTGTGGCGCTCCATTCCCCATGATCATGATGCCCTAAGCACGTGCTTATTTTGTTTAACGGTTAATCCACCACTGCTTATGGCTGCCCCCGGATCCATTCAGTTTTATTATCTGTTTACTAACAATGTTAATGTGGGAGGTGAATGGACTCAAAACAATTCGTCGAATAGATATATGTTAGCTTTGTAATTATTCATTGTCGTAAGGAAATGGATACAATTGACATTGCTAATAAAATGTCGAGAAACCCTTGAATAATTTCATTTAGATCGAAGACTAGGACAGATAACACGTTAGCGGAGTAAGTATCTTTCTTTACAAATATATACCCCCACACCTCGGAAAAATACGTCCAATTAAAAAGATTAACCACTGATTTTATGTTTTTATGTACATGTATGGTAATAGAAAGTAAAAATGGCGATTCATAATTCTAAACAGCAGAAAAACTCGCTAATACTAATCACATATTATCTTGTATAACCACTTGATTTTTTTTTCAGGCAACGAATCCTAGAAGCTTTCAAAATGGTATTCTCTCAGAAACTAGGGACTGCAAAAATTGGAGCTGTGCTTTTATTGATTTCGTTTATAATTGCTTTAATTGGAACCTTATCGCCATCATGGTATAAAAGTCGAAACTCAACTTCTGGAATTTGGATGTTTTGTCTAGGACCTGGAGAATTTGAGAATTGTGGTTCAATCAATTTAGCTTAGTTGTTATGTGCATGAGTCAAAATGTCTGCTTCTAATTTAATCGTGAACATTAAATTAATATAGATAATAAATAACACTTAGATATTACGGAGACAATAATAGATGGCGTAATTATAGAGCTGGTCCATTTTACGTGATTTTACTATACATTTTTGTTTTCCAGGGATATAAAAACTAGGTTCTAGAACTGTGATGATAATTGTCATTTGATGGGTTCACACATAGTAAATTTAAACGTTTTTTGTACTTTTCTAAAAGAATTATACTAGAAGAATTAGGAGAATTTATAATTGAAAGAATATATAATTAGACGAATTTATAATTAGACGAATTTATAAAGTCACGGTTGATTAATTTTATATTTTTTCATGTTTTTAAGATTGGTATTTGGCTGTCCTGAGTTTAGCGGCAATTGGAGTTATCTTACTGTTTATATCAACAATCGCAGCTTTTTGTGCTACCGGTCGAGCGGTTGCCGCTATTTTGGGTATATTGGGAGGTAAATACACTAGTTTAATTTATTGTAAGAAGAACTTTGTATCATAACGCTACCCTTACATTGAATCATTGTAAACTGCACTGGTTGGTATATCTTGATATATCTAAATGATAGTATTCAATATTTCTGGTATTTGTTTAAATCAAATCAAATCAAATTGTAAAGACATTCATTATAAGTTAACTTTTATTCAAAATATTGAGCTATTCTAAAATATGTCGCCAATGTATTTCCCAGTTAATGAGTTATGGCTAGTTGTGTATATGTAATGAGTGATCTGCATGATACAAGCTTATAGACTTATAGTTTTTTTTAGTTTTTCAAAAAAATCGAAGAGATAGGAACCGCTGGCATTTGAATTAATGACACTTTAGACCGCTAAAATTTATGATTTATCTGAAAAGTGTTATTTCGTTATTTAGAAACTTGTAGATTGTGGTGAAATTAAGATAAACTAATGTAAACTTCAAATGGCCATACGTTTTGGACCAATTTTATATGATTTGATTAGACTGATTTTGATTGTACACGGACTTGTTGCCCATTTCAGAATACTTACTTAATTAAACACTATTTTTTTATCTTGAAGTCAGTTAAGAATAATTGCTCGACATTTATTTTCTTTATTTAAAGGGCTGTTGGTTATAGTATCTGTTGTCGTTTACTATGTGAAACAGAATGAAGCTGTGTCGACATTCAGTGAATTACTCTACTGGGGTTTCTATTTGTCCGGGATATCCGGAGGTCTTGGTTTTATAGGCGCATTGCTCTTAATACCCGGTCAAAAACAAAATACCGTTTCAACTTATTAATAATTATAGTGTATTTCTGATTTGTTGTGATAGCTCTTCTATATATAATTGACCTACATAATTGTTACTGTACATGCTTGAAAACGTTGTCGCACAAATAAATTAAGTTGTTGTTTGTCCATGTTATAATTCGTTAGTATATAGGACCTTCAAATGCTAGGCGATATATCCATTTCGGGAAAAAAATTATATTAACAGTCTACTATTTGGCACCCAAATAGCTTTCATATCTATTGAGTTCATGCAAATTAAGAACTAGTTTTATATACTATTTATATACAGAGTTTAACAATAAAGAGAATGTGATACGCTTGTTTTTCTAGTTTGTAATATTTTCTAGAAAATTATATTAGTATAATTTAAGGTCTTTTGTTAGATCCCGGTGTTGGCCAAGAAAGTTCGGCGAATTTTCCAGCGTGCCCCCCCCCCTTGTCAGTGGTGCATGATGGAGTGCCTGACAAGGAACAGTGTCTAGTCGTTCGGATGGGACGAAAAGCCGAGGTCTCGTGCGCACGTAAAAGAAACCTTGGCAGTTGGAATTCGAAATAAGAGTAGACCGTATCGCAAACAAAATTTCCTTCATAGCATACTACAAGTCCGTTTTCATTAATCCAGCCAAGGTGCAGACCAGTATAGGACGTTAAACCCAATTTCACAAAAAATATCATTTAACCATACTGTACGGCGTTGGTGTAAAATATAATGTAGTTGACTGCACATTTATTTAGGATATTTGGAATTTCATTTCTAATCAAATCTAACATAATTCATTACGAACTCTTTGTGAATACTAACGCCCATTGTCAGGTTTGTAGATTGCTTACCTTGTGAGTTGTTTTTTTTTTCATTTTGTGTGAAACCTGTATCACTATAGTCCCGGGACAGCATAACGTAGTGGACCGGACCAGATTAAGACCAATAGAGGCCCTAAGCACTTAGATGATTTTGGTGCCCCCGCTTTCAAAATGCAAACAATAATAAACCATGAAGGTAACAGTAAGAAAAGACAAAAAACAATAAAAAACTAATTAAAGGTTCTTAATTAATTTTTAAATTAAATATTTTGAATTTTTCATCTACCAAAGGAGACATTCTGTGGCGCTCCATTCCCCATGATCATGATGCCCTAAGCACGTGCTTATTTTATTTAATGGTTAATCCACCACTGCTTATGGCTGCCCCCGGATCCATTCAGTTTTATTATCTGTTTACTAACAATGTCAATGTGGGAGGTGAATGGACTCAAAACAATTCGTCGATGCCCATGAAATAATTTCAGATAGCTCTATTTGCATTGCCTGTTCAACATCCGACCCTCTAAAATTTCTCTCTTTTAAGAGTCATATCTATGGATTTTCTTTATAGTATCTTAAATTTTGTCTTCACAAAAAGGGACGTAACTCTTTCAGTACTTTATCCCATACGGACACAGGGCGAAAGTTTTTTTTAATCTTTCTGTTCCTTTCCCTTTTTTCCCGGCCTTTTGCATGTCGATTTTTGTTGTTTTTTGGTGTAGAATCAAGAAAAGGGTTTGAAAATACATTTTTGTCAGATTTTGGTGAATATTCATGATTTTGAGGCGGAAGGATACGAGGGTTGGAGAGTTGATTAGGTTGAAATATGGGACGGAAAATTGTATGTTTGTGGTCTTTACTTCCAGTTTGTGTGCTTTTGTTGCCACATGTTGCTCCATCTGGGGTAGAAAGCGTTCTACCCAACAAAAATTTGGGAAAAAGTTAGACCCGGTCTAAAAGACGAGAGTTAACAATAAAGCCAATAGGGAAATCATTGGTGATCTGTGGCAATATGGAGTGTTGCGGCTATCCCTTTTTCCTGGGGGTGTAGCGAGGGGGCCACAACTGGGCTTTATCTATAAGAACAAAATACCAAACCACCACTCTTTAGGCGCCATCTTTATTCTCCGACCTCGAGCCTCATTATCAACCAACACAAATACCAGACACAAAGTGTCTGGTTAATCGAATATAAACATAAGATATTTGCCTAAAAGGGGGAAAATGGAATATGCCAATATTCCTACTCGACAGGAGGCAGACCACAATTAAATTGTGTTAGTCTACACCGAATATTTACCTGTTTTGATATGCTACTTCAAGTTTGTGTATCTCAAAATTTCATAAACAAGTTGGAGCAAGGACATAACCATTTGTTGCCCTGTGTGTAATTAAAAGCGTTTAGCTCAACGAAAATTTGGGGAAAAGTTGAGCCGGACACAGAAACCAGAATTAATATCGAAGTCAACGGGGAAATTAATGGTGGCGTGCCTCAATACGTGACAGAGGCATGGTTATTTATGTGGTTGATTATCCAGTCTCATATGTGGAGAATTGATTCGGACCCTGCGTACGTTGAAGACTATAAAGCGTTTTGTTTTTTTATGTCGTGATGTGATGTCGCCCTTCATAAGGCGACAATCCGACACCACGACAACCCGACAACCCGACAACCCGACATCACGACTTTTTAACCCGACAATACGACATTTTCACCCGACAGTAGGACGTTAAACCCCATTTCATTTCATTTCATTTTCCTACTTTTCTGCACCAATCGGTCTATTGGAGATAGGCATACACTATGCAGAGTGATATGACGGAAATTTTCAATGGACCGTGGCATTTCTTCATCGAAGAGGGATTCTTTTATGTGCACACCAATGTGTACACAGGAGCTTGTTTTTTTTTTTGTCCCATCTACATAATTAGACACTGCTCTTTGCCAGGCCCTTTGGCCTGCTCTACCGACAGGGAGAAACCACGTTGCAAAATCCCGGGGAACTTCCTTGACCAACACCAGGATCAGTGTATATAATCATAGTATTGAGAGAATATGACCGACAACCCGACAACCCGACATCACGACATTTTAACCTGACAATACGACATTTTTACTCGACATTACGATATTTTTAATGTCGTTGTGTAGGGTGAAAATATCGTATTGTCGGGTAAAAATGTGATGTCGGGTTGTCGTAGTGTCGGGTTAAAATGTCGTGATGTCGGGTTGTCGCCTTATGAAGGGCGAAGCCACGATATCACGTCATGATACCAATCAGCCACCATAGTTTTCGGCGACAGAGATTACTATGTATTCAGAATTATCGCCAATTGATCTTGACATTCAAATTAAAATCTATTTGGACCATTAATATAATTTTGAAATGAAATGAGTTTTATAGTCCTACTTTTCTGCACCAACCATAATATTTATAGGTGTTTGAAACAAAGTCGGCCTTTAAGTTTTCAGTCGAAGTTTGTAAAACTTGGTGGCATGACGCATTCAGTAGGACACTACTGAATTTCAATATTTTTTCCGCTTCAAAAGTTCTAACTTCAAACGAAGTGAAAGCCTGTGGTGATTGTGATGTAGGACAAAGTGCTCAGCTGATTTTTAAGATCTTTGTGAGATTGTACATTGGGTCATAATTAAAGAAGAACTCGTATTTCGTGGGGTTATTTATTCTCTTTATATATATTTACTTTTACGTGGTTTTCAAAATTTGGGAGACTTGTTGACAATGACGACTTCTGTCGTGGCCCCCACCTATGTTTCAATAACGAATTTATTATGGACGTTCCTTATAACATGTATGTTTATTAATATGGAGAAGTATCCCAATTTGTCTTTATGACGGTTTTCAATACTTACATTTATTTGGTTGCTGTCATTGAATTAACATATATTGCGACATAGACCAATTATAACTAATTGTATGGCATATTTATATAGATTGTAAAAAATGAGACAAAGGTGTTTTCTATCCATGGTTAATGTTGAATCCTGGATTAAGCAGATCAGAGTTTTTGAAAGATATTTTTCAAATTTGCATGGATTTTGTATTAGTCGATTTGAGTTCATGAGATGACAAATCTTATCGATTTTCAGCGTTTAGTTCCGGAGTTACCCCCTTTTCCGAAGACCCCATGAGCGCGAAAGAGGCTACAGTTTTTAACGAATTTCTTTCATATTCAATGTGAAGCATTGGAACAAAAAGAAGAATGAGACCTATCGATTTTCTCAGTTCTACGCCCATCTCTGGCAAAATGTGGGCGTATTTTGCATGGCAACCACTTGTTTACGTTTGTCACAACGGTTGAATGCCGAATTATTGATGTTGTGATCTAGTTCTATCGACCAGCTATATTATAAATGTTGTTGCAGATTGATTTTTCCTGACGTATTAAACATTAATAGGCTGACCCGTGTAGAGAAAATTTTCTCTACAGAAAGTTGGACTCGACACGGCGAATGCGCACGCTTCAGTGGCTTGTCTCGAAGTGATTTCTCGCTAACTACGCAGTATGATAATACTCAGCGCTTGAGTCTATGAGACTATCAATAGGCATCGCACGTGCAATTCTCTACACATCTATCAACTATTACAGCCGTAAAAAATCTATTGTTGACGAGTCTGAATAGCAGTCATGTTTAGCTGGTTATTACAGCAGCTTTAGAAATTACTTTCGTTTTATTTTTTAAATTGTGTCATCATTAACTGTACCTTGAAGAGCGGCACCATTTGGTTTAGTACAAATAATATCTCTGAAACACTTGCGTTAGGCAAGAACATGATACTAGCAGTAGTTTCATTTTACTTTTACAACGTTCTTAAAACAATTGTTGAGTTGCCTAACGTGCGTTTTTCTAAATTCAATTTCTTGTTCCAGCTTTCTATTATGTTTCGTAAAAAAAGTAGTCTTGATTATCCCGGCCAGTCAATCAGACGTAGAATGGTCGGTAGACTGGTTAAGCGAGACTAATTTCAAAACAAGGGCACGTAACCTATGTTTTACTTACAAGTGCCCGGATGTTATGACCGACACTTGTAACCATTTTTCAATCTATTATTTATGGATGGTTAAATGGTCATAGCTTATTAAGTACAACATGACCGTTTATTTAGTGACTATAACTGTGCGAAACTGATTTAAGGCTTGGTGTATATATAAATATTGTGTTGTAATTGTCGAGATATTTGGAGATATTTATTTATTGTGGAAATTCTGCATTGAACTGGGGTTTAACGTCCTACCTTTTCAGCCCCAACCTTTAAATTCGGAGATATACCGCTCTCAACTTCAGTGTATATGTACGATTAAATTTTAAAAAGAAAAAAACAACAAACAAAAACATATCGACCGCACATGTTCTCTCATGCATGAACTGTTATTGGAGTTATTGGCTATGAGTTAGACGTGATAAAGCAAAATGTATATATAGGTTAACCAGATATATAACTATATACATCGTCCATAAAAGGTGTATTACTCCTAGAGTAACTCGGACATTTTTATTTACATCTAGAAAGAAGACGACTAGGATTAGTAACCAGTTATCGAGGTAGGGATCTCTCTTTATAAATACATATACGTCCATTTAAAAAAATAAATAAAATCCACCATAATATGGTTTTGTTCAGGTATTATAACAGGAAGAAATATGGCGATTGACGATTACTAAACAGCAGACGAAAAATCACTAATATTTATCACCGACTTTCATTTACATCTAATTCTATATTCTAGAGGGGGATATTAATAACGAAATATATAACTTCCATCATATGGAAATAAAGGCCTGCTTTCAAGAATATGCGTATCATTTGTATTTGAAATGATGTCTTGCTTTTGTGCATTTTTCCTTTACTACATTAAATGTTTTTTGTTCTTTTGTACTATTTTCATTCTGTTTTTAATAATGTGTATACTGGTCTGAATGGGCGTATTGATACAATAAAATCTTATCTTGTGCGATCACCCGATTGAATATGGATTTATTAGAAAGAGATTAAATGAACTGTCTGTAACTCGCATTAAATATATTTGTATCCATTCGTTAAATGGCATTTAGTAATTGGAACATAGTCAAATAACACATAAGTGTTATATGCTTGATAACGACTTGTGAAATCTTGTTGAAACGTCGCAGTGAAATAAACCACAGTAATTGTTATCCATAAATAGTGTGTTATTTGATTGTATCCATTCGATTGAATATTATTGCTACCGAGACGGTATGCGTATGTTTTAGGCACAGTTATCGACAATATCTTGAAATGTTTCTGGAGTTATCACGTCTGTCCCTGGATTGAAAGCTTCCGTGTGCGTGCGTGGTGGACATGGTCAGGGACAGTTTACTTTAGCCTTTATTTCCAATTATGGAGATCATAAGTGTACCGAACGGTTCCACAACAAACCAATACATCCTGGTTCAATAACCACGAAAGTTTTTTATAAAGCTGAATGTAATTGGTGCAAAACAAAACTGGCAGTTTGTGAACTGAATTATAAATCTCCCCAAAGCAAACAATGTTAATAATCTAACCCGTGTAGCAAAAGAAGAAATGATTCTCTAACAAATATAATCCTTGAGTGGCATTTTGCGATTGAGCACATTAAAAAAAAACTAATAAAATAGAAAATGGTCAAGATAAATAGAAAGATCTTTTTAATATTACGAATACACTTTTGGATCCAAATTACGGCGAAACTGAACTGCCAGATAGTGTTCCTCCGGAGCGACCTCCAGATAATGTTCCCCCGGAGCAACTTCCAGATACGGTTCCTTCGGAGCCAAATTTTTCCGAAATTAGCTGGTGTTACTAAAGCTACCATATCTGATAATGTAGTCCTACTAATTTATCGAATGTAGCAATTTTCTACGATTTCCGTCCTGTGTCTTAACTGGAAGTTTCGAAATTAGTCAAACAATCTGCCACGATATCGTGCATTTTACATGTAGACCCCTTACCCACGCCACTTTTGAAAAAGAAAGTTTCCAAGTGTTATACCTGTTATCATGACTGATATCTTAGTAATATTTATATAAAAAAAATACGGTTAGCAGTAAAAGAAATCTTGAGAAAAAATACCGCTCTGTATGCAACCTAAGCTTCATTTCCAAATGATTAACGGAAGAATTCCAGAGTTCGTATGGGGATTTCCATAGTACTGAAACTGCTATGGTCCGTGTTCACAACGATATCAATATGACTTTAGACAATAATAATATGATTGTTTCTGCCCATACTGTTAGATCTGTAGCATTTCATACGGCGGACCATGCTACTCTCCTCCATCAGAGTTCAATGATTTTGTGGAAATACTCTGTCACGCTTGGACCAATTTCATTTAGTCTTTATACCAAACCCCTCTGTCATATACAAGTAGTCAGAAAACATGGCCTATCATTTCACATATACGCTGACAACACCGAACTATGCATTTCATTTAAACCTATTCAGTGTGATTTTAAACTCTCCAAATTCAACCTCGAAACTTTTATTCAGGATATCAAGATTTGGATGGGCAACAACTTTCTAAAACTCAACTTCCATATTATGTAAGACTGAATACCTTGTGATTGATTTGAGGCAAGTTTGATCAAATTAAACTGTGACCCCTCTATTGCTGCAGGAGACATCTCGATCTCACTATCAAAATCAGCAAGGAACATCGGTTTAACATTTGATTCTAATTCTTATTTGTAGAATTGGTTATATCATCTCAGAAACATTATAGTCAAATACGCAAATGTCTATCAATTGACGCTACAAATACCATAATTAATTGTTAGCTAGTTACCTCTCGTTTAGATTAGTTTAATTCTTCGTTAGTTGGTATTAATCGGCAGCTCGGCTTATAACTGGGGCACCATATACTAGATCACACATCTCCAGTCTTGTATAAATAAAACTCGCTACTAGTAGTGTTTAGAACTGATTCTAATATTTTATTATTAACTTTTTAATGTCTGAATTATCTTACACCCTCTGATATTTTCAATCTTATAGGTCGATTTATTTCGTTGTTAATTGCCCCTTTCTATGCCGTAATAATATTCAAATGAGTGTTGTGTAGTTGAATTTATTTTCAGGGAACGAACTTTAGAAGCTTCCAAAATGGGATTCTGTGAGAAACCACTGACTGCAAAAATTGGAACTGTTCTTTTAACCATTTCGTATTTAGTTTCTTTAACTGGCACCTCATCACCATCATGGTTTAAATCTGGAGACATGACTTATGGACTTTGGACGGATTGTCAAGGACCCGGAGAATTTCAGAATTGCGGTTCGAACGATTTAGCTTCTAAACAAGGTACAATTATTAAATATTACTTCGTTCAGCTGTTAACATGCGCATGCGCATGACTTAAAGCATCCACTTATAATTTTGGATCACGTAAAAGTGAAAATGTTATTATCCTTGGGTGTAAGCTGTTTTTTTTCACGAAAGTTAACGATTCCTTATTATCCTTGGGTGTAAGCTTAGTATTGTTTTTTTTTTCACGAAAGTTAACGATTCCTTTAAATTAAACCATATAAATGCGGGTATTATTACAAACAAAAACAGAAAATTGATAACATGGGCATAGTACGTGTGGAATTACATGAAAAACATCACGCAAGAGTAGACATATTCTCCTCGTGCACGGCATACGCCCCACTAAAAAATTGGATATATATTGTGCAACAACTTTTATCACTTCAAATACATGTATGCCTTTACGCGTACAGACTGTATGATTTGATGAAAGAGTTGGACTAAAACATATTCAAACTAATTTATCCATCAAAAGTTTGCTTCAAATCACACTTAAAAACATTTTAATCCCAAGGAAACTATCCCTTGCCGTTAGAATCCATTTATATCAATTATGTATTGAGGGAGAAACTGTTTTCCACCTGTTAGTCGCTGTCCATTTGCCATAGATATCGAAGTCTAAGTAAATTCTTGAATTATCATTTGCCATCTTATTTTATGTTCTCACAACCCTTAGCCATTAGATCAACAAATAAGAAGCACCCATTACGTAACCCGAGCTGACAGGCTGTCAGTTAGGGACACCCTTACATTTTTGTCTCGTGGCATCCCATGAGTGTTTTTGTGGAAATCCAGTATTGTTGTAGTAAAATTGGGTATCTCTACTTTTAATAAATACCAAATATACCATACTTTTATTGGAAATAACTATTCTATGAATAGTTTGGTGGAAACGTATCTTTAAATCGTGATCACGAAAAGAACTGTCCGATCACGCCGTTGCTTCAGAAATGTGGATGTTTTCACAAAAACATGAACTCTTAAATATTACTTTTATGTATACGTCAGAATCCTGTAAAACGGGATGGCATTGCTTATTGCGATACAATCAATAACATATCAAATTTGGCTGATTTTCGACGGAAATAGACCGGAACTTCCCGTCGAAATGGCCGCTTCCCTTTAGACCATGTTCGACTGAAAGGTATACGTAAATCCTTGTTTTAACGCGTTTTAGTTTTTTGGATAATTAATATTGGAGAAGGATGTCCGGGTATTTTTCTACCCCGTATTGTGCATGTAATCATATATTGGCATAACATTATCTTCCTTTACATTACTTCATATTTCTTTTCTTTCCTTTCTATGCCCACTTACAGAATATAACAAAATGGTTCCGCATAGGTAACTTTCAATGTCTGTATATCCGTATGTTTCTCTTACTGATGTTCTATTTACTGATTGGCCGAAAAGTTCATTCAGATTTTCCGGCGTGGTTTCCCCTTGTCAGTGATGCAAGATGGAGGGCCTGACAAGGACAGCTGTCTAGTCGTTCGGATGGGACGAAAAACCGAGGTCCCGTGTACACATTGGCGTGCACGTAAAAGATTCCTTGGCAGTTGGAATTCGATATAAGAGTAGGCCGTAGCGCCGCTGCCCGTGCAAAATTTCCCTCATAGCACACTGTATGGTGTATGCCCGTCTTCATTAGCCCAGGTTAGGAGCAGAACAGTAGGACGTTAAACCTCATTTCATTTCATTTCATTTCTATTTACTGATGTTTTTATCTGCCCATCTATACATCCCCCGTTTAGACATTCATTGTGGCTGCTTTATTCAGACTTTAAAGGACAATATTGGTGTCAGTCATTATCACCACATATGTGATAGAACTGGTTAAACAAGTTCCAAATATAATTTTAACACAACGATTATTGCTCATAGCACACTGTATGGCGTATGCCAGTCTTCATTAGCCCAGGTTAGGAGCAGAACAGTAGGACGTTAAACCTCATTTCATTTCATTTCTATTTACTGATGTTTACATCCCCCGTTTAGACATTCATTGTGGCTGCTTTATTCAGACTTTAAAGGACAATATTGGTGTCAGTCATTATCACCACATATGTGATAGAACTGGTTAAACAAGTTCCAAATATAATTTTAACACAACGGTTATTGTTACGATAGATGCGTTATGACGATTTCAACAAACGGGAGTGACGAACGCAAAAAGAAAACACGAGTTATCCTTCTATATAACTGACTGAAGTGACGAGTGATAACAGATACATGGGCGAATTTCTGCCTACTAATAATTCACTCGAAGACCAAAAGTTGTTATATGAGATTATGGGAGGATATCTGAAAATTCAAAAAATAATGGACTGTCACTAGATAAGACAAAACAAGAAAAATAGAAAAAGTCCGTGCATTACCATGTTTTTATTAAGTATAAAATAAATAAAAACAAGTGAATGTACGGACTATTTCTATTTTTCTCGTTTCACCATTATCTAGTGACATTAGTTTCTTTTTTGAAGTATCAGATATCCACTCACAGCCTCACATAACAACTTTTGATTATTAGTGAGCAGAAATTCGCCCGTGTATCTGTTATCAATCGTCACTTCAATCAGTTATATAAAGGGATAACTCGCTCGTGTTTTCCTTTTGCGTTCGTCACTTCCGTTTCTTGAAATCGTCATAGCGCGCTTATCGTAGCAATGATCTCTGTGTTAAAATTATATTTGGGACGTGTTTAACCAGTTTTATCACATGTGATAATGACTGGCACCAACGTTTTTATTGTTCTGTGTGACATTAGTTTAAAAGGACATGGCCAGATATTTTAGCTGTGTTTAACTATGCAGTTTACCATACAGACTGGTCTCGTTAATAGCTGTCACTGGTCCAAATACATCACGTCTAAACGTAGTATTTGTATATTTTGCTACATTCTCGAAGAGTGGTGTGTGCGTCAGGTCCAGTGTATGGTCGCGGCGTGCATTTGATTGATTTAATTACTATTTATTTGAATGGAGTCGTTTATTCTAACAGTAATTTCTTTCGAGCGAAGATTGCCTCTAGAGTGAATATTTGGGAATAGTTCAAGCGAACGATTTTCATTAGTCAACTAGAGTTTGAAATCAAAAGGCATACATTGTCAAATCGTTTATTCACCAGTTTGATCTGCGAATGTACGCGCGTATCGCCGCTTACAGCACATTAGGCAGTAGTCGCCATTCACGTTCGACCTCAGTATAAATGGCTCGTTACTCACTTGGGCACGAACTTGTAACCGCAATTAGCTGGACCACATTGGGATCGACGGTGAATGATTTGAAAAACAGCGGTGTTGTTAACGTGTACGTCAAAAACGACTTGTCAGTTGGAATTCGACAAAGAGTAGGCGGCGACACTGCTGGCCAGCAATAACTCCCTCACGATACAGTGGCACGGTGTATGCCCGTCTTCATTAGAGACTTTTGGCAAGCGGATTTTTCCCATCCGTATCCCGTATCCGTATCGTATACGTGATACGTTGCGTCAATGTAGTTTTAGAGTTTTGGCAGATTTTAGCAATTTTTGATTTCACTAGTGTATTATTTCAGAAAGTTTAGCCCATAGATCAACCAGTATGCAGACAGGCGGGAAAAATATGAAAATTTCGAGAAAAACCCATCAAAAATGATGATTAAATTCCAGTCGTTATCACTGTTAAAATCACATCAAATATACACCTTCGTGTTTTAGGATACACACAGATTCATAAAAATGCTATGATGCAACATTTCAGCGTCTAAAAGTAGCAAAAAAAGACGGGAAAAAGACGACAGTGTTATACGGACCATTTCCGTATGAAAGCCGTTCCATACGTGCTGCCGTATCCGTGTGCCGTATCACGTATGAGAAATACACAGACATTGATGACGTCACACGCAAAATCCATACGGATACGCGATACGGACCAGGAAATTACGCTTGCCAAAAGTCTCTAATATCCCAGTTGCAGTACGTTAAGCCCCATTTCATTTCATTTTTTTTTCATTCTAGCTGGTGATCAACAGTAAACTGTCCTGATATCCCCAAATTCTACAAGCCTCTTTATCTATACTTTATATCATAATATCACCCACATCAAGATTACATAAACAAATGAATAACATTTTCTAAAAAAAAAAAGGCAAGATATAGTTTCATGAAACTTTAGACTTTTTTCATTGCACAGGAGAAGGGTGTAATTTATACAAAAAAACCCATAGACAACCTTCATTACATAATATAATCTGTAATCTGATCCAGGATGGGTTTTGTTTGTATTCTAGTCTGTATAGTCTATCAAAAGTATTCTACGTCGAATATCTGATGAATGCGGTACTACACAGGGGGTAAGGGATCTGACAAGACATTTTTAAAAAAATTGAATTTTTCTATGTCCAATATCCTGCGGATCTCTTGTTACTGGTGAAAACCACCACAGAATAAAACCTTGTAGAATATACTTTCCCCACATCTTACAAAATGATAATATAAACTATTAATGTTCCAGCAAAATAAATAGAAAATGTTTCATAAATGTTTCATTGTTCAACTTTTCTAGTTGTAATGCCTAGCTAAATAGCTAGCATAGATATGTTTACATCTTAGCACAAAAAGGGTCAAGTAAGTCTTTATGTTAATTTTTTCGTGGTCATTTGAAATATCTTTTTTAGATAGCACAAGGACAATAAAAGATGACGTAATTATATATTTCGAGAGCAGCTCGATTTTAAGTGATTTGACTGCCATGTTTTTTGGGGCGATCCTAATTAGATTGCATGCGATTTATTTTTCTAAAACACCTGATACCAATTCTCAGTTGACAGAGTTCACAAACCTATATTGTATTTTTGCATTCATAATTATTTATAAATAGAAGTCACATTTTATTAACTATTTGTTTTGTTTATTACATAGATTGGTTTTATGCTGTCCTGAGTTTAGCAACAATTGGAGCTGTCTGTCTGATTGTTGCAAATGTCGTAGGCTTTTTCTCTTCCAATCGAATGATTCCCGCTGTATTTGGTATATTAGGAGGTAAATATACTGGTTTATTTTATTGTAAGAAGAACTTTTTATCACCACACTCGCTCGCTATTATAAACAATTAATTAAATATCTTTTCTTGGCCCTTTAAAGAGAAGGTATGACAGAAGACCATTATTTATCTAAAAATGTTATTTAGTTACAGGTGTAATTGGGAGAAACTTATGTAAACTTCAAATGACCATACCTTTTGCAACAACATTATGTGTTTTGGTTAGATTGGTTTTCATTGTACACAGACTGAAACACTATAAATATCTTTAATCGGGTGTTTTGCTCATTTAAACACTATATTTATCTTTATAATAATACTTGCTCGGTATTTCTTTTGTTTATTTAAAGGGTTGCTGCTTTTAATATCTGTTGTGATTTACGGAGTGAAGCAGAATGAACTTAATGGATCACTTTACTGGGCTTTCTACTTAACCGCAATAGCCGGATTTCTTGGTTTTATAGGCGCATTGCTTTTAATACCAGGTCAAAACAAAAGTAACGTTTCAGGCTAATGTACATGTATATCTACTGACGTGTTAGCAGGACCTTCAAATGCTTGGCGATATATCCATTCCAGGTATACATATTGGCAGTGCTGTATTTGAGACAAAATTTTCTTTCATGTCACTTGCTGTCCTTGTAAATAACGACTTGGTAAAGAGAGCTCGCCATTAGATATCGAATTTTAATGGGGATAATATATGGTTATTATTTAATTTTGTTCCCCGATGTTATTGTTATTATTTATTTAGTTTAAGTATTGATTTGAAATAAACTAAATAAATAATATATTTATTTAAATAATATATTAAAATGACCTGACGATTCGTTTGATAACGGTGAAGGTACTAGCCAAAAATTCAATTTTTAGCATTTTTTTCTCTAATATTTGCTCATAGGCATAACCTTTTCAAATCAATACTTAAACTAAATAAATAAATATAAAAATTTATTTTAATATATATCTTTTTTTGTTTGGTATTTATTTTACTGTATATACAAACTTGTAAATGAAATGTAATACCATTTTTCTTCTTAATACGATATCATCAAATTTGACTTATACTAAATCATTTAATAGTTTGTGTAAATGTGCTATTTGACCAAGAATAGTTTTCCAAATGAGAAACAAGTCGTCCAAATATCTTTTTAATTTCTCTTTGATGTAGTTTCTAGTAATACCAAATCTGTTTTTAGTTATTTTATATAATTTTTCTTCTAAAAATCCCATTGCAAGGTTACTAAAATACACACAAGGAACCTGTTTTATATATTGATATGCATAAAGAACTTTGTGTTTGTGTATTATATACATTGTCATAAAGAATGTGTTGTATATACATATATACATAAATAACTTTGTTTTATATTATTTATGTATATAAATAACTCGGTTTTATATATGTAATACGTTATATTTTTATATACATGTACATAACAACAGATTTTAAAACTAATGAGAATGTGATATGTTTGTTTTCTGGTTTGTAATATTTTCTAAAACAAATCATAAATTTAACCTCAGTTATTAAAGGAGACGTCTCAATTTTCATTAGGGCTCCGGGAACAATGTTCGTTATAATATACAAATCAAACGTGAAAAATATGAAGAATCTAAAAGATTTGAATATTGGGCTCTTTGGAAATAATCGCCAAAACAGTTTATAAGGGATGGGGATACGGTAACTCTTTTATAGCGTCCGCCTACAATTGTTGATTGGGTGACTACCGGATAATATACACTGTTAAAAATAAATGTAAAATTACAGTGAAAAATATGTAATTTATTTAACATAACGCGGTTAAAATACCACTGCATGTTTTTATACTTTAAATTTACTGTATTCGTGTGGTAACATGGGATTACCGTAAAAAATTGGTAAATTAACAATAAAATTGTAGTTTTACAAGTTAGAACTGTATTTTTATTACATGTAATCTGTAATAACACCACTGCATGTTTTTATACTATAAATTTACTGTATTAGTGAGGTAACATGGGATTACTGTGAAAGAAAATGGTAATTTAACAATACAAGTGTAGTTTTACAAGTTAGAACTGTATTTTTATTACATGTATCTGTATTGATACAGCTATGTTGGTTAAAAGTACATGTATGTTGTATTTTAACTGTTTATGGAGTAATTCTACTATTCAAACATGTTTAAATACGGGATATATTTGTGTACAATTTACAGGAAACGTATAATTGTACATCTCTTTAGAACTTTAACATTGATAGACCTTTGAAGGGCTTTATTACTTTTCGTCTATAGTCCACTTATGAGGGGGTCACGAGGGCTAAGTGGGTAAGACGTTGGCTCGCTAGCCTGGAGGTTGGGTATTCGATCCCTGCATTCCCTCTTTGGCCACATGTAATATTACATCAAACGTAATATAGAAATACAACCATATGTCAGTTTACATTATGTGAGCTGTATATTAAAAGAAATGTCATTTGAAATAGTATTTTTACAACAAATTGTAAATTTACTGTCAAATGGTGTTCAAATCAGTTATTTCCCTTCGACCACATATCGAATTTTGTGCGAAATATTTACTGTTATGTCAGTAAGATTAGCCTATTTTAGAGAAATAGGTTATTTAAAATCTGAATGCACCTAACTGGCGTATGAACACAGTGATATGCCATACATAGGGTTGTGTGGAACATTTTGTTTCGTGTCATGTCTCCTACACTTCCCATTGTAAGAAGCAGAACAGTAGGACGTTAAACGTCATTTTATTTAATTTCTTTCCATTATCGAATGATGTTTTGCATGCTCGGCTGAAAGGTCCGCAAAACCTTTAAGTGTTTGCCAGGATCGAACCTAGGGCTACTTAGCCGAGTGGGGAAAAACGAATTTCCTATAAAAAATGTCACCTTTTCAAAGTATATTTCAAGTAAATATACACTTTAAATTGTATTTTAACCGTAAAATGACTGGCAGAAAGTTGCCAGTAAAATCGCTGTATTTTAACACTGGCTTGTAAATGTACCCCTAAGCGGTAGATTTATATTTACAAACACCACGTAAATTTATAGTGTGTGTAAAATAACTCTGAGGTAAATTTACTACCACAGTGTAAATTTACAGTGGGTGTAAGATAACTTTGAGGTAAATTTACAACCACAGTGTAAATTTACAAGCACTATGTAAATTTACATCGAAGTTATTTTACACTCACTGTAAATTTACATGGTGTTTGTAAATCTAAATCTACCGCTTAGGTGTAAATTTACAAGTCAATGTTAAAATACAATCATTTTACTGGCAGAAAGTTGCCAGTAAATTTACGGTAAAAATACACAAAAATTATTTACAGTGTAGATGGTGTATTTATCTTGAGTTGATAAAGGGTCTTTTAACCTGAAACGTTATGAAGATTTATAGGCCATCTATGACAAAATCATGGTGACGTGAGGTATTGCACCTTTATAGATATTGTTTACTGCCAAAGATTGTTTGTTGATTATCCAGACTGAAATAAATGCATTGAATTTAACAAGGTGTTCTGGTTGTCAATAATAAAGCCATGAGTGATATGCATGTGTGAGGTAGGGTATTTAAGTAAGAAGTTATTCTGAATTTGTTAGTGGCTGTTTCCAATGTTTAGGTGTAGATTAATGGTTCAGTGCGAGACATTAAGTAATATATTGATATTGTACAAGTGCGATAACACGAGGGCAATATCTATATATTACGCAATGTCTTGCACGTGCATTTAAATGAAATACGTCACGCGGGTCCAATGTTGCAACTAGTATAAATAGCCTAATGTAGGGTGACCCACCATAAATAAATATCTCCAAATATCTCTACAATTACGCCACAATATTTATATATATGCCAAGCCTCAAATCAGTTTCACACAATTATAGTCACTAAATAAACGATCATGTTGTACTTAATAAGCTATGACCATTAATCATCTATAAATAATAGACTGAAAACTGGTTCCAAGTTGCGTCCATAACATCCAGACACTTTTGAGTAAAAGATAGGTTACGTGCCCTTGTTTTGAAATTAGTCTCGCTTAACCAGTCTATCGACCATTCTACGTCTGATTGACAGGTCGGGATAATAAAGACTACTTTTTTACGAAACATAACAGAAAGCTAGAACAAGAAATTGAATTTAGAAATAAGCACTTCAGACAACTCAACAATTGTTTTAAGAAACTTGTAAAAGTAAAATGAAACTACTGCTAGTATCATGTTCCTGCTAAAGAAAGTGATTCAGAGATAGTATTTGTACTAAACCAAAAGATGCCGCTCTTAACGGTACAGTTAATGATAAAGCAATTTAAAAAAATAAAACAAACGTAATTACTAAAGCTGCTGTAATAACCAAGAAGCTAAATTTTACTGCTATTCAAAATCGTCAACAATAGATTTTTTTCGGCTGTAATAGTTGATATATTTGTAGAGAATTGCACGTGCCATGGCTATTTATCGACTCAAAGCGAGTGCGGGGTAGTCAGAAATCAGTTCGAGACACGCAACTGAAGCGTGCACATTTAGCCGTGTCGAGACCAACTTTCTGTAAAGTGCACGGGTCACCCTATGGACGCTTATCACATTGCCCGTACCATTATTTGAAATAATGGTACGCCAACATCAAAGAAAGACGTCACATTTGTATTTTAATAGTGAGTAAGCGACATGTCTAATGTCTATTACATGTAATTTTAAATGTGTTTGTGAAAGTCCTAGGTGAATATTTCTTGCCGTGGTGACAAATGAAGTCTTGGTGACATAATAATTTTCTTGTCTTTGAATGGCAAATGGTAGTCTTGGTGACATGTGCATTTTCTTGTCTTGGTGACAAATGGTGGTCTTGCTGACATTGTATATAGCGTCAAAATTACATGAAGTCCAGGTAACGGACATTGGGGGTAAAATGATGACAATCTGTAAGTATACTCATGATTTAAAGGACAATATTGGTGCCAGTCATTATCACATATGTGATAGAACTGGTTAAACACGCTCCAAATATTATTTTATCACAGAGATCATTGCTACGATAGATGCGTAATCAATGTTTCAACAATCGGAAGTAACGAACGCAAAAGGAAAACACGAGTTGTCCCTCTATATAACTGACTGAAGTGATGAGTGTTAACAGATACATGGGCGAATTTCTGCTCACTAATAATTCCTTCGAAGACCAAAAGTTGTTGTGTGAGACTGTGAAAGAATATCTGACAATTCATAAAAAAAATTGACTGTCACTAGATAAGAGAACATGAAAGAAAAACAGAAAAAGTCCGTGCATTACCATGTTTTTATAAGTATAGAATGAATTAACACACGTGAATGTACGGATTGTTTCTATTTTTCTCGCGTTCTCTTAGCTAATGACGTTCAATTACTTTTTTGAATTGTCAGATATCCGCTAACAGTCTCATATAACAACTTTTGGTCTTCGAAGGAATTATTAGTGAGCAGAAATTCGCCCATGTATCTGTTATCACTCGTCACTTCAGTCAGTTATATGGCCACAGATCACTAATGATTTCCGCATTGACATTAATGTTAATTCTCGTCTCTTAGACCAGCTCTAACGTTTTCCAAAATTTTAGTTGGGTAGAACGCTTTCTACCACAGATGGAGCAACATGTGGCAACCTCTTGCCCAAAAGCACGTATGAGGTTCACCATGGAAAACTTGAGATACACAAGCTGAAAGTAGAGACACGTAAACATGTTATTTTTGACCCTACATTTCAACCTAACCAACCTCTCAACTCTTGTATCCTTCCGCCTTAAAATCATGAATATTCACCCAAACCTGGCAGAAAATATATTTTCAAACCCTTTTCTTCGATTCTACACCAAAAAGTCAACAAAAATCGCCACGCAAAAGGGGGAAAAAGGAAAAGGGAGAGAAAGATTAAAAATAACTTTCACCCTACATTCGTGGGTGACGGCGTAGAAATATTTGGTGAGTTGTGTCCATATAGAGGGATAACTCGTGTTTTCCTTTTGCGTTCGTTCCGATTATTGAAGCATTGATTACGGCCTGTGCCGGTCATTTTTTTTTTTTTAGTAGGAAGGTTGCTAGTTGTGGGTAACATTCAACTTTGGTCCTTGCCCCTGCAAAGAACGAACTATACCCTTTCAAACTTTGGTTTTCATCAAATTCATTTTTCCGAGAAAGTTGAGTATCTGGCCAGTACCAAGATATCATTGGCAGTAGAAACTTAAAACTCTGTGTGTAAGAGGAGCTTGGGTGGTCCTACTAAAGCCCTCAATTTCGTCTGTCCAAATCAATTATTGTCTGAATAACAGCTCATCCAAATTTAGTTCCAAATTAGCCCATTTTTAAATATTTTTCTATTAAAAAATATATTTCCAATTTGCCAAATTGGGATCAACTGTACCAACCTAATATTCTGTAGGGATGTATCTGGGTACTAACCCAACTCACAGAAAAAAATGGTCCACATCCCCGAACCAAGACTTATCAACCTCTACATGGTGCTCTTGCGGACACGCTCTTAAATAGCGTTTATAACAGATCCAAAATTGAAACTTCTTTGCTTAATACAGTCGTTCCTGATGATTAACTTTGTCGACACGGGGTTTGGAAATAAATTATATGTTTCTTAACGGTTCGTCTTTTTATCTTTAACACATCGCACGGTCACCTACCCATTGTAAAGTCAGGTAAAAAAAAAAGACATTTAGGACACATGCATGAAAACCAAAATTGATGACTGTATACATAACTTGGCCCATTGCTTACTTGTCAGCATGGCTTGACAACAATTGAATGCACCTATTTCCAGATGAAATGGGGTTTATTTAATTTCCAGATAATACTGCCGCTGTCGAGATTGTGAATCTCTCGCCAATCATAAAATAAAATGAACTGTCTGTATTTCTCCGAAAAGTATCACCGAAAATTCAGATAATGGCATACAAATAAAGAACAATATAAACATTTCCAGAATTAATCAGTGTTATGCGCCTAAAAAGATATTCATTTTGCCCTTTAAGACTTATTAATAATTTTGATTTATCAATGTATAAAATAATACCTGAAAACATGATCACTTTGAGTTATTACTATTCTTTAATACATTTTAAGATTATAACATTGCTTGAAGTAATGCAAAATGTAATGTTAGACTGTAATATTTGTTTTGTCATTTACAAAACATCATATTAGCTATCATATTCGATATTTTAATTAATAACTTACTCAATTCTAACAGCATGTTTGCTTAATATCCATTGATCGAATACTAACGAATGTACAGCATAAAATATTTTTTTATTCAATTTCACACACACACTACACAGGACGGAAATATTTCAGAGTGGCCTCCCTTTGTTCCGAGAGAAGAAGTGAAATCTTGTCCGATTCACCATTGATATATTTAATTATCACATATTATATATTTGAATCAGAATCTGAAAACGTTAAACATCAATATTTATGAAGATAATCGTCAACATAGGGATCATGATTTCTGTAATAGTCATTGTAGTAATCTTTTTCCACATGTGAGCCACTATCCGGAAATTTATCCCAATCTTTCGGAGAAAACGTTTTCTTTTTCTTCCTCCTTCTTTCCATACTCTCTTCAACAAAAGGCTCGACTCTATTGACGGGGGTATATTCACTTCCACACATACAAAATGATCCAATTACAGCTAATCCTGGACTGAAACATGCCACAATAAAACCCCAGGACAAACTCGCATTTATTCCAAAATCAGAAAAATTGAAATAATATCCATAAACAGCAGGGCCAACAGCCAACAGTAGTCCTGGAAAGATGTAACATATACTTAGATTTCGGGAAATAGATATCAAGGCTTAGACATAATTAGTACTTACACACAGTCATTTACAACATAACAGAACAATGCAGACATTGTTTCGGTAATAAATATTCATGTAATGGAATTACATGATTTTAATGACAGGACAGTAACTCTGCAAATAACATCTTCCTGACTTCAAATTTCGATATGACTCTTTCTTACAACTAGCTCGGCAAGTTCGAAGGAAAAACCCTGACACGTACAGCTTTTACATGGTTTTGGGGACGTCGACAATAATTCTGCGCGAGTGTGAACTTAGATATGGTTCCTTTTCAAAAGTAGTCAAACTACCCTAACAAGTCTGTAGCGCGTTTACAATATTTCGTTGACGGGGGTAACTCATTGACAGACTGTGGATTTCGAAGGGCTTCCTTCTTAGGACAAGCTGGAAATCACAGCACGTTTGATAAACAAAGCTCAATAGATCTCCAGAACATTTACATCGGGGGTGATGACAATATAGACACACATAAAATGTGGTCGTAACAAAACTGTTGATCATGTAACACCACGTTTCACTGGGATCTTTTATTAAAATATTGACCATGGCTGTGGAATAATGTATCTCACCAAATAGTACATTTCAAGATATCTGTCACTGCGTTTCTTGGTTGAAAATATATAGAAATGGTGCATGAAATTTGAAAAACAATCAAATTTAAAAATCTAATGAGAAAGTATTACCTCAAATACACCAAAGACTTACCTATAAAGAAAGCATCAAAGCCTTCAATTCGACATGGAATTCTTTTACACAGGAAAAATACATCCATGAACATTATAATAACACTGACAAGCTCCACGCCTCGAACCACTTCAAACCAAACTGAAAACACATTAATAAATACATAGTAAAGTTCAGTAAAATATATATTTTACAAATGAAATACTATACATATATAGTTAAATTCTTATTTTTTTGGAGAAAACGCTAATTCTTTAGGCAAAAAACCCTGTATAATATTGCCCATGATTTGTTTTTGCCATTATGTATTTGGCAAACTCCCCAAATAGTTAGGGCGCGTAGATCCATCCATATTTTCACAGAATCATTCAAAATGACTGCTGAAAATGAGGTCAGATCGCGTATTCGAAAGAAGACACCAAAATCTACCCGTATGCCAATGTTCACGCTTTTGTCAAACAGTGAATCATTTTTCACCTGAGCGACCTGGTTTGTGCCAGTGCATTAAGAACCTAATCAATTGTCTCCTGTTAGCACCAGTTACCTTCTATCTACGTTTCAGTTCATGAATGTAAGTTGTATAAAATATGTCGCAAGAAATGGGGATCAAAACCACTTATGTTGAGATTATAATGAATAATTGCACTTGTTGAGCAGTCAATATGGCTGTTCCATAACTTCCGTTTTAGAAATTTAGATAAAGCGCTAGCCGTTCTTGCCATAATACTTCAAACAAAAATAAATAATTTCAGTCAAATTATTTTATTCTATGCCAGTATGTGTAGATTTGACACGATAATCTTGATGATAAACAAAGTCTCGATTATGTATTTTATCGTTGAGTTATTAAATGGCGAAGAAGTTCTAACCCATTCAATATAATATCTAAGCCATCCGGTGACCCAGAGAGTTGATTACGGACTTGTCATGCGAATACATGTCTAAAAAAATAAGTAATATAACATTTGAAGCTTTGAAAATGTTCCTGCTGTAGGCAGATTTAGTTCTTACATAATGCATTTTTAAAATATACGGTGAGTCCATTAATATAAATCTATTAAATATTGAATTCGTACCTCCATTTGTATGTGAATGAATCAAAGAGCAATTAGAAAACTGGAAAAGTTGACCACAATGTTGAAACAGGCCATATATTCTACCACTGTTGTTATCTATTATCCATGTAGGGAAGCACAAGGCTAAGACACCGGTCAGTATGGAAAATATACACATAAACACCCCGAACTTATAAGCGAATTTCCTTTCGTGAAACTGCATCTTATGTCATTAACTATAATAAAAAAAAAAACTTTATGTTGTAGGGTTAAAATAAAATATAAATGTACATCATTTAGTACAGATGCAAAAGTGTAGCTAAAACGTAGTCAATTGTGGGACACGTGGCTAAACGATAATGATATAGGCCGAGAAAGTTCATCGCGATTTTTCAGCCGGGTTTCTCCTTTGTCAAACAAGATGGCGGTATTCTTAACGCCCAAAAATAGACCAACTACGTAAGACATACATGTAGTTAAATATTCAAACAAATTGAAATTTCACCTTTAGTTAAGTTAGATCAAAGTGTCAATGACATAGCCACATTTTTAAAATCTATTTTCATATTAGCGATCGTCGATTAATCAGGTGTATACATTCTCGGTTGGTATACAGTTCCAAACATAATTAAACAAAGATGCAGCATGAGATAAAAACAATTGTCAGGAATATTTGCCATGTCTGGGTAGCTTCTTATAACCGATGGTCGGTGGTATTTGTAGGTTCTAATTTGTAAATTTCCCAACCATGTAAGGAGCGCGGATTTCTGACAGTTTTCGGAATAAATTAAATTATCATATTTGTAAAGAATAAGCCTTTAGTCTCAAATAGTCGTCTTCTTTTAAACAATTTCAGTGACAATTATATAATATGCTTCAACAAGCCTTAGTCACATTTAATATGACGAAAATTTTAAATGTTAACAGAAAGCATAGCAGATGTGAACTGGTTTTCAGCACAATGTTCATTTAAAGATTGACCTTCACACTAAATCCTTGTCAATACATTAAACCATTCCAATTAAAATGTATTTCACAAGGTATAAATAGATAAAAGGTACCCATTTAATTTCAGTATCTAATAGCATTTGTTTAAATCACATAAATAATTAAACCTACCTGGTTTCAGATTCCAAAAATGTTGATATTATATACCTACATTTTGTTTACAAATACTGGGTGATTTTATATAATTCAGTATTGTGACATTCTTGCTACCAGTACGCAAGAAATGCGTCCTCGCTATACTAATATATATGATCATAAAGAGGGCTGAATAACAGTTATTGAATAGAATAGGATTTGTATATAAATATTGGCCAAAAATACTCTGGTTATAGAAATGGTGATTATGATCTTGTATAGATTAAACCAACAATAAGCTTTTATTGCTTTTGGTCTACTAACAACGTGACGTTCCCTGTTCTTTGTTCGGTTTAATATATTTCCCCATTTGACTACTTCTCAAGGTGGCTTTTTGTTTATCATGCGTGTTACTGAACAAAAGTAAGTTATCTGACAACATGTATTGCTAATTTTTCGGATGATAAGAATTGCTTTAGATTGGAGTTATTACCCTTTGATTGATGACCCGAGGTGTAGCCGTGAAATATATAATGAGGGAGGTCCGCAAATGAAATTATATAAAATGTTGACAATCTGTGACGCCGGAGGCACGAGGCTGCGTAGCGCAGCCGATGTAGCGCGATAGGGAGAGGGTGGGAGGGTCACCCTCCCACTGGGGGGGGGGGGACACCCCCATAAACACTGTTTTGGCATATTTTACGGGGTTAAACTAAAACATCACACCAAAACAATGTTTATCATGTTTATTCATATTTTTTTCATGACTTTTACATATCAAATTATGTTACACTTGAGTTATGAACAACACGACAAAGAGACTTTAGTTGGGGAATTTTTATGAGGAGGATCCAAATGAAACAAACTTGATCACATTACTTTAGTTTATGAGGATGCATATTTGACAATCACCTTGTTAACTACAATACTATATACATATACACATTGACATTTACAAGAAAGTTGGTTGTATAGATATTTAAAGTATTTTGTACATTTTGTGTATTATAAATGGATTTCAAAAAGTACATTGTTTGTACATTGTTTTATACAGATAGAATCTTAACTAATCCTAATAATTATTGTAAATAAATAGGAGTTAGGGCCTACTATGTCATTTTTTTATTTTTTTTTTTGGGGGGGGGGGGGGAAGTATATTCAGCCCCCCCCCCCCAAAAAAAAAACAATTGGAACGCCCATGATTTTTTTAAAGATTTTATTGTATCATTGCATCCACCAAGGACAGCATACACAGTTTAAACAAAAGTTGATCATACAATTATAACATAACATCTGGGGTGATCCTTTATGGATGTACAATGTGATATAATATGTCTAAAGCATTAAAAAAATGGTCGTTATAATGAGAATCAGTATAGAGCTAAAACGAAAATTATCTAAACTAGCCTGAAAAATAAACAAACTATTTCTACCGTAAGTATTAGTATAATAAACATATTATATTGAACAGGGGTGTTGGTCAACAGGTAACTCTGATGCTCTTATATATGTGAAGCAACCTGACTAGCAATTTCGTTTGGGGGATTTAAAACATTAATCATATTGCACGAGATGTGCGGATTGCTTTTGAAAATTTGCGTAAATTTTGAATTTCTAAGATTGTTATATTTATTACAGTCAAATATGAAATGATATTCGTCTTCTATTTCATTATTATTACATTGTTTACATAAACGTGCATGTGGCGGAATATTTTTATAACGACCACGCTCTATCTCGAGATGGTGTGTGCTAAGCCTAATCGAAGTCAACGCAATTTTATGGGCCTTCGATTTGACGGAGCGCAGATAGAACGGTGTCGCATAAAAATCCGGCCCCGAGTTCATAAAGCATTCTCAGACTTAAGTTACAAATTTACTCAACTTTCAAACACTGTTTATGACAAATATCTTTGATCCAAAAACACAAACTTTTGCAAACAGTTTCTTATTGGTGTATTTGATACATTAAAACAACACAAGTTTTATAAAAGACCATATTTTAGTTAAAATAAGGCGAACAATTTTGAGTAAATTCTTAACTTAAGTCTGAGAATGTTGAATGTTTTGTGAACTCGTGGCCCGGCTTAATTTTTCCATACGTCCGAAGTTTATCGATCGATTGCGAATTTTCTTGTTGATCAGTAACTATTAGGAAAAGAACGACAAATTTCTTTTCGGTGGCAGATTTTATGTCACTATTTTTTAGGTCATTTTGTTCAAGTTCAAAATATCTGGTTAAAATCCCTATGCTATGACAAAATGATTTTCTTGAATCAGCAGTTTTACAAGAAAGTTCATAATCCGCTACAAATGACGTGTCTAGGAGTTTGTTTTTATTATCCGATAAGAATCTTTTGAAGTAAAGAAGCATACGCTGATGTCCAGAGATAGTGGATGGATACCACATTCAGCTAGATATCCCATGTTACTAGCACGCTTAGGCATATTGAGAATGAATTTACAAATGTTGATCGTACTTCTGTTTTCTTCAATGTTTTTGTTTTTGATAACATATGAACCCCAAATCTCTGCCCCATAAAGGGCTATCTGCTTAACAATAGAATGATAAAGTTTTATCATTACTGTAGAGGGCAGGGATTCAGTACAGCATAGTTTCTGTCTTATCGCATACCACGCCCGTCGGGCTTTTTTCATTTGGTCACAAAATGCGGTTTTAAAGCTAGAATTATTAGTAATCGTTAATCCAAGATAATTGTACGTTTCGGTATTTTGGAGTTCAAATTCTTCAAAATAAAATGTATATATATACTTTTGCTTTTTACTTATTTTAGAATTAAGAAACGTCATTATTTTTGTTTTATTCGGATTAAAAGTTTCAGTTGCCAATCGGAACAGAACTCGGATAAATTATTTAATTGATTCTGTAGACCAGCCTCATTAGAGGACAGCATGACATCTTTAAGAAATTTCAAACTCGTCTGCTCAACCCATAAACATTCATTGCTCATTTTTCGGACGGTTAAAATTGCTTCCCAGGCTGACTTTTTTTTATTTATCACGCGTGTTACTGAACAAAAGTAAGTTATTTGATACCCTATAACTGCTTAATTTTCGGACGGCCAGAATTGCTTTAGATTGGAGTTATTGCCCTTTGATTGATCTGAAAACAAATTACATTTTAACGTTATGTATTTCAGCCTCGTCTGCTCAACCCATAAACGCCCAGTCCTTGCAACAAATATTTTAAATGGTCTGTAGTCGGGCCAATATTTATGTAAAGTATAATTATTATCACAGTCCGGATTAATATTTGTGGTGAATGCATACTGCCTATGATAGACATAAAGTCTCCACGTACCACTTCTGTGTGGTACAATGAATAGTCATCTAAGTGGGTAGGACGTTGGCTCACTAATCTGGAGGTCCCTAATTTGATCCTTGCGTTAGCCGAGAATATTCTGTAGGACGGTAGGCCTGGTAAGGGACAACGTATAGTCGTTCGGATGGGACGATTAACCGTGGTCCCGTATACACATTGGTGTGCACGTAAAAGAACCATTGACAGTTGGAATTTGATATGATAGAGTAGGCCGTAGTGCCGCTGTCCGAGCAAAATTTCCTTCGTAGCAGACTGCATAGTGTGTGCCCGTCCTCATTAGCCCAGTAGAAGCAGAACAGTTGGCCGTTAATCCCCATTTCATTTCATTTCCTACCATCTTTACAGACTTAACTCGTGATACAGATAACCACCCTTCGGTGTTTATGACGATAAACGCTGGTCTCTTTATTATATCATTATAGTAAGCATTTTGTCAGAGCCCAGGTGACCTATAAATACACATCAGAAAAGAAACGAAATGGGGTTTAATTTTCTACTTTTCTGCACCAACCTGCCTAATGAAGATGGCCATGTACCATTTTATCGGGAAAGCGGCGTTTCCGCCTATACTATTCATCAATCCCCAGCTGCCAAGGTGTTTTTTTTAACGTGCACGTCAACATCTACACGGGACATCGGATTTTGGTATCCTCCGAACAGTTAGGCGCTGTTCTCTGTCATGATGGCTCACTAAACAGGAAGGTTCCGTGTTCTGTCACCATGTTGACCCAGAAAGTTACTCGGGATTTTTTCAGCATGATTTCCCCTGGTCAGGATGGAAGACGTGGTAAGGAATAATGTCTAGTCGTTGGGATGTGACTAAAACCGAGGCATTGTGTACTCTACTGGAAAAATCCCTAGGAACTTTCTCGGCCACAACCGGAGTTTAACCCAGAGGCACTTTACTAACCGAGTCACAATACACGTCAGAAAATAAAAATCTTAAGTTATTTCGGCCAAATAAAATAGAAATTAAATTAAAATCTTCACAGCCATTGATAACGACTTAATTTAAAAGAAAAATATAATTGGTCGTAAAGGTGAGATCAGTGGAATGAAATGCTTCAGGTGGACAAAACACCTGTATAATCTGTTGGCAGAAAGTAGGCTGGACCTTCGATTAATCATCATACATTCTTACGCATATATCAAAGCAAATAAATACAGTGGGCCATCAAAAACGTCTCACAGAATATAATTCGTGTTGATACGTCAACACTTCTAGCTATATAGAATATTTTATGATTTATAAATCCCTTTCGGAATGATAAAAGAAACGGTATATTATTATAAACGAAAATCACACAACTTGACAGCGTTATGAATAAATAAAATAAGCTGAATATTGATGATTGACAATTTGTGGATCAACATCATTCATCTTGTCTAGAGAATGTAAAAACAATTTTACGTTGCTTTATCTTTGAATATTTTTTTTATTGCAGGTGTTTGGGTAAGGACATAAATCAGAAATCTATTTGATCTTATTGTCATCGACAATCGAGATTGATATTGAATTTAATATTCTATTTTCAGAGCGAATCGTTCAAATTATTTACATTGCATTATTTTAGAAATAAGACTTGTAACCATTTTTCGTACAATATTTTCGTTACTATGAGAAGCATTTATTTCTTCCGGAATATCTAATCCTACGGAAGCGTATAGGGGTCATGGAAAATTTTGTAGAAGGTCTCGAGATCTAGCGATCCTGTCATACTTTCTTGAAATCCCGTGATCACCTGGTAATTTTCTCGAGATCTCAATTTAATGTTCTCGAAATCCCCTGATAATTTTCCTGGGATATTGACATCCTGTGTGTATTTTCTCGAGAATTCGAGTTAATGTTCT